TTTTTTTTGAGATGGGGTCTCACTCCGTCACCCAGGCTGGAGTCCAGTAGCATGATCTTAGCTCACTAGAGGTGTCTTTTTTGACATTGAACAGTGACAGTGAGCTCACAAAATGTTTAGGTGTTTTCTGTTTTGTGTTTTATTTATGACCCATAGGTGGCACCTATTGAGTGCTAGACAGCAAGTATCCGCATGTGGGCATCTGGCGGGCTGAGGCTATAAGGTCTTTTTCTTCCAGTGATGACTCAAGATTGAAGTATCATTAAACACTTAATTAACACAGTAGCTTACATATTCCTCTAATATTTGCTTGGGCTAGTTAATTAAGCCATAGATGTTCCCGTATACAGGCATTTACTAGAATTTTCATATTCTTTCTTGTAGGACCGGGTGACTTTTAGAAGAATCATAGTGAAAAATAATGCAAAGAAGAGGAAGATGTTTGAATCATTTATTGAGTCTGTGCCCCTCCTTAAATCATTGGAGGTAAAGTGGCTTGAATAAGAATCTGTTCATGGGGATTAGAAAAAGCTTTTAAAACTATTCTGTTGTTAGGTTTTCAAATCATATTATTCTAACCCGATTTCTGTGTTGCATAGCTATTGTGACTTTCACTTAAGGTCTTTTCCTTTTATTTGTGAATTTGTCTGTTGTTTCAGTTGTCAGAACGAATGAAGATTGTGGATGTAATAGGAGAGAAGATCTATAAGAATGGAGAACGCATAATCACTCAGGTGAGTGAGGGCTTTACACAGCTCCTTTCCTGGAAGTCACCCCTAAAGAACTAGTACATCATTTATCTCAAAGACTTCTTGTTGGATACAGTGGCTCATGTCTTAATCCCAACAGTTTGGGAGGCTGAGGCAGAAGTTCAAGACCAGCCTGGCCAACATGGTGAAACTCTGTCTCTACTAAAAATACAAAAATTAGCCAGGTGTGGTGGTGCATGCCTGTAATCCTAGCTACTCGGGAGGCTGAGCCAGGAGAATCACTTGAACCCAGGAGGCGGAGGTTGCAGTGAGCTGAGGTCGTACCACTACACTCCAGCCTAGGTGAGAGAGTGAGACTCCATCTCAAAAGAACAAAACAAAACAAGAAAAACTTCCATGTTCTCCCACTGTTGGGAGCTCTTATAACCGGGTAATAGATCATACTTCAGAGGACTACATAATAATCCTCTGAAGCCTATTGATGTCTGTCTTACTGATACATGCAGATCTCTTGCTTCCATTCACCTTCCCTTGGCCTCTAGTGTTTGTTCTTTTTTTTTTTTTTTTTTTTTTTTTTTTTTTTTTTTTTTTTTTTTTTTTTTTTTTTTTTTTTTTTTTTTTTTTTTTTTTGAGATGGAGTTTTGCTCTTGTTACCCAGGCTGGAGTGCAATGGCGCAATCTCGGCTCACCGCAACCTCCGCCTCCTGGGTTCAGGCAATTCTCCTGCCTCAGCCTCCTGAGTAGCTGGGATTACAGGCACGTGCCACCATGCCCAGCTAATTTTTTGTAGTTTTAGCAGAGACGGGGTTTCACCATGTTGACCAGGATGGTCTCGATCTCTTGACCTCGTGATCCACCCGCCTCGGCCTCCCAAAGTGCTGGGATTACAGGCTTGAGCCACCGCGCCCGGCCTAGTGTTTGTTCTTTGAATGTCATTTTCTTTTGACCCTAAGTAAGCTTCATCTGTTGCTGTTAAAACTTGGGGAAAGTTAAAGAGTTGTGCCCTCTAACTTTCAATATTTGATGCAAAGGCACCCTTTTGGCTAATATAACACAAATCAGAGTTCACAGTGTTCAGTGATTAATCAAATTTGTAAGAAGTCTGGTTATTTCCTTTGTGCCTTTTTCTCATGTTATTTTTGGATATAGTAAGGATTACTAAACAGTGGGCTAAATCATTGTAATGAGTACTGTGTATTAATTTTCTTTGTCCACTGTGTTTGTATTTTTAATTTAACATAAATGGTATTGGACTTTTCCAGGCATAAGTTAATCTGCCTATGTTTCTGGCTCAAGAGCACTGAGAAGATATATGGTTGGTTTAGGTTGGGTGATATGCTTATCCTAGAACCCAGTATTGAGACTGGGAGGAGGAATGACTCATATTGGTCAGGCCTGGGTCCTGTGGGTGAAGTTGGTCTCACCAGAACCACAAGGACTAATCAGACCTACCATAAAAGGGGAGAAGAGAGCTCCCCTATAAGAGATAAAGGACTAACAAAAATATGATGTCTACTCTGAGTCACTTCTCCAAACGTATTTGTTTTCTAGGAGCCCTTACTATTAATTAGAAATTGGTGTATTCTATAAGCTTTATTAAGATAGGTAGGACCAGATAAACACTATAATGAAGGAGTGTGTGAATAACAGTGAGAACATAGAAAAGGAAGTAATACATATGGTTTCATTGAGGAAATGCCATTTGAGATGGCCTTAAACAAATATAGCTGGGCACAGTGGCTCACACCTGTAATCCCAACACTTTGGGAGGCCGAGGCAGGTAGATCACCTGAGGTTGGGAGTTCGAGACCAGCTTGACCAACATGGAGAAACCCCCATCTCTACTAAAAGTAGAAAATTAGCCAGGTGTGGCGGTGCATGCCTGTAATCCCAGCTACTCGAGATACTGAGGCAGGAGACTCACTTAAAACTGGGAAGCGGAGGTTGCGGTGAGCCGAGATTGCACCATTGCACTTCAACCAGGGCAACAAGAGTGAAACTCGGCCTCAAAAAAAAAAAAATGCAATTTCAATGTTTGGGATCAGGAAATGGTCCTTCAGAGCAAGAAAACAATATGAACAAAGGCCAGTAGTGTGAGCTGTGTTTCAGAGCAGATATCCTGGTATGGAAATGCAGGGCTGAGTTTTAGAAATTGGAGGTATTAACTGGCCACATTTGCTTCTGAACCTAAGGTGTTTAAAGTAATATTCAAATGACCTCCAATTTATCCTAAAGATTCTAGGCCTGTCTCATACTGGGTTTTCAAGAAGTATGCCAGGGCCGGGCGCGGTGGCTCAAGCCTGTAATCCCAGCACTTTGGGAGGCCGAGGCGGGTGGATCACGAGGTCAGGAGATCGAGACCATCCTGGTCAACATGGTGAAACCCAGTCTCTACTAAAAATACAAAAAATTAGCTGGGCATGGTGGCATGTGCCTGTAATCCCAGCTACTCAGGAGGCTGAGGCAGGAGAATTGCCTGAACCCAGGAGGCGGAGGTTGCGGTGAGCCGAGACCACGCCATTGCACTCCAGCCTGGGTAACAAGAGCGAAACTCCGTCTCAAAAAAAAAAAAAGAAGTGTGTCAGGAGATGTGAGAAGTCATTGTGTTTTCTTCATTATCTGTGCTCTTGAAGATAGACTACTGTCTTCAAGATAGGTAGGTGGTGGTACAGAATGGACATTAATTAAGATGATACGCATCTTATTTTAGGCCCCTTTTGTCAATGTCTCTCACTAGACCAGGGCTTCTCAAAGTGAGGTCCTGGGACCAACAGCAGCAATCAGCATCATCTGAGAATGTTAAAATTGTTAGGAATACAAGTTCTTATGACCCCCCCCACCAGACCTGCTGAATCAGAAACTACATTTTATGTTGCTTCATTTGTTTTGGTCAGCTTTGTCACAGTGTATTTTACTTACAGTAAAATTACTAAGTTTAACTGCACAAATTGGAAGAGTTTTGTAGCCATCCCCAATGTGGTATTTCTGTCACCCCATATAGTCCCTTGTTTGTATTTGCAGTCAGTGCCCTCCCCTACACTCACATTTCTGGAAACCATTGATGTTTTCTATCACTGTAGAAATTCCTTTTCTACAATTTAATATAAATGAAATCATGTAATATATAGTTTTTGTGTCTGCTTCTTTCTCGGCATAATGTTTTTGAGATTTATCCATGTTATATGTATCAGTAGATCATTCCTTTTTATTGCTAAGTAATATTTCTTTGTACAAATGTAATTTTTTTTTTGAGACGGAGTTTTGCTCTTGTTTCTCAAGCTGGAGTGCAATGATGTGATCTCACCTCACCACAACTTCCACCTCCCAAGTTCAAGCTACTGTCCTGCCTCAGCCTCTTGTTTTGTTTTGTTTTGTTTTTTCTTTTTGCTGATGATCAATTTTTTTTTTTCTTTTTAATGAGACAGAGGCTTGCTCTGTCACCTACGCTGGAGTGCGGTGGCGTAATCTCAGCTTACTGTAACCTCTGCCTCCCAGGTTCAAGCAATTCTCATGCCTCAGCTTCCTGAATAGCTAGGACTACAGGCTCACACCACCATGCCTGGCTAATTTTTGTATTTTTAGTAGAGACAGGGTTTCACCATGTTTGCCAGGCTGGTCTTGAACTTCTGACCTCAAATGATCCACCCGTCTCAGCCTCCCAAAGTGCTGGGATTACAGGTGTGAGGCACCATGCCTGTCCTTTGTGTGGACATATGTTTTTATAGTCTTCAGTAAATACTTTTTTTTTTTTTTTTTTGAGACAATGTCTCGCGCTGTCACCCAGGATGAAGTGCAGTGGTGTGATCTTGGCTCACTGTAACCTCCACCTCCTGAGTTTAAGCAATTCCCATGCCTCAGCCTACCAAGTAGCTGGGACCAGAGGCATATGCCACTGTGCCCAGCTAATTTTTTGTTGTTGTATTTTCTTTTTAGTGGAAATGGGATTTTACCATGTTAGCCAGGCTGGTCTGTTTAGTAAATACTTGAGAGTGAAATTGCTAAATTATATGTTAACTTCATAACAAACATCCAAACTGTTTTTTAAAATGGCTATACTGTTTTGTATTCCCACCAGCCATGTGTGAAAATTCCAGTTGCTCTGCATTCTCACGAACAGCCTTTAAAAAAAAAAAAAAATGCGTATATATTGTCAGGGCCTCACTATGTTGCCCAGCCTGGTCTCGGAACTCCTGAGCTCAAGCCATCTGGCTGCCTTGTCCTCCCAAAGTGCTGGGATTATAGGTGTGCACCACTGTGCCTGGCTTTCATGTTCTTAATGGTATCTTTTGAAGAGAAAATATTTTTTAATGTTGACAAGTCCAGTTTATCATCTTTTCTTCTTTGTAGTTTGTACTTTTGTTGCCGTATTTTAGGAAGTCTTTGCAAAATCAATAATGTTTTCTCCTAAGTTTACTTCTAAGACTAGCACTGTTCAATAGAAATAACATGTGAGCAATATATGTAATTTTAAAAATTTTTTGGTCACGCAGGGTGGCTCACACCTGTAAACCTAGCACTCTGGGACACTGAGATAGGAGACTTGAGGCCAGGAGTTCAAGACCAGCCTGGCCAGCATGCCAAAACCTCGAATCTACTAAAAAAAACCATGCAAAAACTAGCTGGGTGTGCAGTACAGCTCTAGACATTCAGAGTTTTAGCTCTTACCTGTAGGTCTGTGATCCATTTTGAGTTATTTTATTGTTTTTGTTTTTTAGAAGCAAAGTCTCGCTTCCAGGCTTCAGTACAGTATGCAATCATAGCTCACTGCAGCCTTAACTTCTGGGCTCAAGCAATACTCCTCCCTCAACCTTCCAAGTCGTGCCTCTACACCCAGCTAATTTTTTTTCTTTTTTTGAGATGGAGTCTTGCTCTGTCACCCAGGCTGGAGGGCAGTGGTGCGATCATGGCTCACTGCAACCTCCACCTCCTTGGTTCAAGTAATTTCCCTGCCTCAGCCTCCCAAGTAGCTGGGACTCCAGGTGCCCTCCACTACGCCTAGCTAATTTTTTTTTTTTTTTTTTGAG